ATATAAGTCCCAGAACTAAGAGCTGTAGCAATTCTACAAAGCTATTTTGTTTCTGCCAATACATGTCGTGCATTCTGTGCGAACAGTGTGACGGGTGGACCACAAAAGAACTGTCGAAGCTGCGCTGTCGAGCGATCAGGGGTGGCGCCGTCGAGGAAGATGTGATGTCCGTCTGCGAAAAAAACACCAAAAATGGTTGGATGTTAAAGACGGCAGATGTATTACCAAACATTAATTCTTAGAATAATTCGACGGTGTGCCTTGATCAAATTGCAGAGCAGCATGAACTGACTGTGCGTGTAGGTGGAAGTGAGGGATCTGGATTCCAGGATGTCCACTCAATGAAATGGTTTTAAATGTAATGATTTTCGAAATTTTACGGGCAAAACTCAAGTCTTATGGATAGCAGGGTACGGGCGGGTCTAACCACAAAACTTTCCGAGCTTGCCCCATGGTGTCGTTAGCACTGATGCGACTCAGCGCCCAGAGTCATTTTGATTCCAGGTCATGGAACCGGGTGCCATTCCGAGTCCGATCGGACTCCGACCCACGTTTGATATAGAGTGCGAAACCGTAAGCAGCGTCAGTGGTGGTGTACTGGTGGTGGGAAAGAAAAGACAAAACAGATATGAGCCCAAAATCTGACGTAATCTGAGTCTGAGCTATAACGTTGCGAGCCTGTGCCCGAACTCATAATTGTCTTTTCCGTTACAGTAATCGTTGGGGGTCCGGATTCACTGTAGAAGTATCAACGGGATAGCAAAGCGCCAGGGGTCAGATGTCGGATGACGGGCAATATGAACCTAATTGTCGTACCACGTGTTGTGAATAAGGGGGGGGGGGGGCTTTTCATGTGTATATGAAGCGCTTGCGGCACACGAGGCGATGAACAGCATGGCTAAAATGCACCATCTAGATAAGTATACTAGATAGATACTAAATAAGGAACTAGATATGCATCATCTAGTTAAGTATCTATTTCACATCCCTTAGCGTGCTGACAACACGAAAAGGACCCAAAGTGACGTACCATTTTGGTATGCATGGCGCAATGCGTTTTTAGTTGAATAAATGTGACTTTATGCATATGTGCGATGCACGATGGGATGACAATATAGTTTTCGCATTTTGTTCCGTCTAAGCAAAACTTGGGAAACATAGTGGTACCCTGGTGGTTAAGCGATGGGGTTTCAAAATGACGCAACTGTTTCATTCTCCTGGATAATGCTGGAGGCTGGATAATACTGTGGTCACTGACCAGCAATGTGGGTCCTTCATGGTTTCAGGTGTCCTGACGAATGTAGGATACCTTCTTATTGGCATTTAGAGATCTTGGGCCTTGTCTCTGCTTGGGAAAGTAACCGCTACGCCCCAGAAATAGCACTGGACGGACTGTTCGATATGGCTGTTCTCAGTCAGTTGCTTTAAATAGACAGTCGCACGGGTCTCTGATCAGTGCTAGAGCTGCTCTTACATTTTAGGGTCCGGCCTTCAGGTTGTTATCCCTCCATACGACCTCTGGCCTGCCCCTTCGGACCGTTAATGGGGCTCTTGGTCTTCGGACCCAGGGGACCAAAAAAAGGACATTCGGAACCCATGGGACCCTTGGAGCCTAAGGGGAAGGTGGGGGGGAGGGGAGCCGTGCTTAATTCGGTTCCCCGCGAAAATAAAGTTTTAGGGGCCATTTTAAGTGCTCCTGGAATCTTGCGACGCCTTAAAATGAATGTTTGGTCCGATTGTGGTGTTTTAAAAATTTAAATTGGGGGCTCATAAAAATAAATGTTATGATGCCCCGCAAGCAAGGTTCTTCCTGCCTTGTCACCGAAGGAGCCGAACCAGGATTCAACAGCGTAAGGCAGGGCCATTGTGCTGCCCCTGTATTTCAGGGCCCCTTGAAAGTGAAGTTTGGACCACTTTCAACGTTCTTTCAATCGCCGACTTGCATTTGGTGTCTCAAGGAAATACATGTAATGGTGGTCCAAAGAAAGGCGTCGCTTGGCCGAATAGGTCGATGCGGGATTTCGTTAATGGAGAAGCACGGGAATTGGTGATGGCGCGTCGTAGAGCCCCAATGAACAACGCAGGCTGTTGGCGGACTGTTTTCCTGGAAGCGGGGTGTGCCCCTTCCCTGAACGGCCAGATTCGGAGTTTCTTCCAGAGTGAAAGGCACACCGATTGCCATGGCCGCTGGATTGTGATGCCCTTTTAAGTTATGGTTTTGGGCTTTGTAAATGGCCCGGCTTTGATTTAGTACCCCTTTGTGCAATCCCAGATAATGTCACCCCGTAAGACGGTTATTGCGCCTCCTTACCCATGGGGTTCCGATCCAGGATTTACTCAGGGCGGAAATCTCAGCATAGTTAGGCCCCTGGAATTCATGGCTCTTCCAGAATAAAAGGTTAGAGCCTTTTCTGGTACTCACTGGAATTGGGTGCTTCTTGAAAATAAAGGTTATGTTGCCCCGAAATGAAATTTTGGTGCTCGCTCACCGGATGGGCAGACGCAGGGTATCGTCGAGACCACGGCACGAACGTCGTGGTCTCCCTGCAGTTTGGCGTCTCTTAAAATATAGGTTATGTGTTCCGAAATAAAGGTATTGTTGCGCCTTTGCGATGAGATTTGGTGCCTCTCCAGGGCGTCCAAGCCTCCTTGTGCCCAGGGGGAAGGAATGACCCCGTGGCCCCTCCCCCTCTGGACCCGCCCCTACTTTGTGGTGCCTCAGGAAGTGTGTACCTCTGGAAAATAAAAGCTAAGATACCCAGTGATGAAGTTTTTTTGGTGCTCTCTCTTGGAACAGGCAGATCGAGAATTTGGGAAGGTGAAAGGCATAGATATTGTAATGTCCATGGATTCTGAACGCTGCTAAAAACCAAAGCTTTGGAAACGTCCCATTTAGACAGAGGGGCTCTTTAAAATAAAGCTTATGGTGCCGCGAAATGAAGTTATGGTGCTCTCCAAACTGACCAGTTCGGCGCCCCTCTAGCCCAAGGGGCCAATCCAGGATTTCGTCAGGGTAGGAGGCACAACACCGCTGCATCCCTGAAATTTGGTGCCCTCAGAAAATGAAGGGTTTGGGCCGGTTATGGTGTACGTATGTACGTTAGGGTATGGCCCGTGTGGTGGTGTTTGGTATGGATTTCAGTGCCTGTCGAAAATAAATAGTTGTGGTCATTTGTGGCGCCCGTGAATTTTTGGGGGCTATTGAAAATGAATTATGTAGATACGAAGAAGATTTTGCTGCCCCTTCACCATTATATTTTGTTGCCCCCTCACCCCGAGAGATGGGGTAGCCCCATCCAAACCCCACCCCTACCACTCCGGATCCTGGATCCGCCATTGGTCAAGGTCGGTTGATAAGACACACCTCATCGCCTCATCGCCTCAAAGCGTAAGCCCGTTATTTCTTCCTAATCTGTCATTCGGTTCCTTGCGTAAGCCTCATTTATATCACTTTGGTGTGGATCTGAATATATACCGTATTGTGTTTATGACTGCAAAACCCAATTCTGTGTTCCGAAAAGCGTTGTTTGTACATGCTACGTAGCTGGCGCGGCGGAGAGAGAGAGAGAGAGAGAGAGAGAGAGAGAGAGAGAGAGAGAGAGAGAGAGAGAGAGAGAGAGAGAGAGAGAGAGAGAGAGAGAGAGAGAGAGAGAGAGAGAGATAGAGAGAGAGAGAGAGAGAGAGAGAGAGAGAGAGAGAGAGAGAGAGAGAGAGAGAGGAGGAGAGAGAGAGAGAGAAGAGAGAGAGATAGACGAGAGAAGAGAGAGAGAGAGAGAGGAGACGGTTTATTGAGAAAAGCATTGCTCCGAGTATCAACTTATATAGCACATGTGCACAATGCACATACGAAGTAGCATACTACTTAGTTGATAATATATGTGTTTATAAGACTAGTCACATCGGGAATACTTGATTTGCGTGGTCGCATACCACAGCAAAACGTTTGGAGTGTGCTTGCGCTCCTGGTATTTCTGCCGGAGATCGCCACTCGCTGCTTCGGAAGCAGATCTCTGTGCATGGGATACGCTTGCATTTGTTTTTCTAGTCTTAGGCGTAATTTTTCTCCTCTGTCAGTGAGAGTTTCCATGCCCAAGCGTTGCCAGATATGCGAGTACTGTTTCGTACGGCCGAAGATTATTTTCAAGCCTCTCTTCTGCACTTTCTCAAGATGTTGCGCCTGCTTGGCAGTGAGTCCCGCATGAAAAACCGGTGCACAATTTCTAGCAATGGTTGGATGTAAGTAACATACTCCCGAACAAGCTGTTGCTGTAGTGGATGAAACTTCTTCATTATGTAGAGCATACACAGAGCTTTCGATGCTTTGGTTGCAATCTCATCCATATGTGCTTGCCATGACATGCCATTCGATATTGTTACACCCAAGAACTTAGTTTTGATGGCAGTTGGCATGCTTTTTCCTTGAGTCATGATGTCCGGTAATGCTAATGGTTTTTTGACTGTGAAAAAATGCATAACTTGACACTTGTCAGTGTTCAGCATCATCTTGTTTGCCGTTGCCAAATCACTTACCTTGTCAGTGTGCTCTTGCAGCTGGCGGTGCCGATCTACTTGGTCAATTCGACACGCCTGGTATGTGGTAAGGTCGTTTACATGCTTAAGTCGGTTGTCAATATTAGCAGCGGCACTGTTAACCATAGCCAGGAAAGCAACCGGGCCAACTAAGATGCCTTGTGGAGTGCCGTATGTTATGGTTCTCCAACGACTCATGGTTCCATCTGGCACCTTGACCTGCTGTTGTCGGTCCTGCGAGAATGAGCATAGCCACTTTGCATACCCGGA